CAGGAATGACACCTGGCATCTGGGAGGTGACCCGTCCGGCTCCCTTGTGACCTGGACATTCCTAGTTCCCCACTAAATATCCCCTAGTGATTTCCTGTTCGCCTGGTGAAGCCTTAGAAACAACAGGGTTTTGAAAATATAAAAAGCTTCCCAAGTTTCCCAGGGGCTGTCCTGCAGGAGATTTCCTGTTGACAGAAACACAGGAAGAAGCAGCGCTGAGGCTGTGCTGGCGGAACATCTGTGCTCCAGTCCCTCTGCTGGTCGGCGACCCCGACAGAGGGGGACCTGCTTGCTCTGGGGGCTGGGAAGGATGGGCCTCCGCGTATCGCAGCCAGAGGCATCACGCGGGCTTTGTTGCTGAGATCGCAGAGCCTGGCGTTCGCAGTGGCACAGCAAACCCCAGCGGCGCTCACAGTCATCGCACAGAAAGAGCGAGAAAGTATTTGAGCTATGCAGGGTGGGGGAAGGCTGCGCTCCAGGGCTAAGGCAAACCTGCCACAGGATTTCTTTTTTGTTGCATGCAGGGAATTCCAAAACGGGGGGAGGCTTTTCTCCCAAACTGTTAGCAATGATTGGTACGTGCACAGTTCAGAGCCCCCAGCCCACACACTGCCCTCTGTATGCACAAGACGCACTGCGGTCATTCATTTTCTCGGTTTCCCCCCACAGTTAGCCCTTGTCAGTGGTCTATCTCCTTAACTGGCCTGTCTGCCTGACTCGCTGCCTTTTAGAATGATACTCCTAATTGTCTCCAGCATGTGACTGGAGCATAATAGCCTTATATGGCCAAAGGGAGACAGAGAAAAGCTGCCCAGGAGACTCTTTAAACAGTAGCTGATCAGGGAAACAGCAGGCTCTTGTGGAAGGAGACAACAGTGTTTGTTCCAGAAAACCAAGAAGCATCTGTTCACCTGGGCAGGGGGGAATCTATTTTGAAGCTCACTTTCTATGAAATGTTAGTAAATGCAGTAATTAGGACTGCCTTTTTATAATGCCAGTAAGAATACCAATTTTTTTCCTCTGGAAAAGCAAGTTATATAAATTGAAGTAAAAAAAAAATAATTGCTCAGCAGGTATTCTTTTTATTAGTATTTACTTATAATTTGCTACCTGCGTTGGTTCTTTAGGGAGTAAAGGGAGTAATTAGAAGTAAATTTGGAAAAGCAATTTAGAAGTGGAGAAGGAAAGACGGAGCTTGTGAAGCAAGCCGGGGAGGTTGCTGGACATGGCAGGTGGGGCGGACACAGGGTAGAGGAGGAGAGGAAGGTGCCAGGAAGATGCTTCTCTGAAGAAATCTAATTTGAGGTTGCCTTAATTTGAATGTATACTATAAATTAAAAGCCCCTTTTCTTTTCAACAGGAACCACTTGAATTAAAGTTTCCAAACTTCTCTTATCCTGCCCTGGAGGTCTTAAAGGTAAAATCCTGGCTTCCAGACCTGGGGGTTGAGGAGCACACAATTGTCATCACTGGGGAGTCTGAATTACTTATGTCAGTCCATGAAATAGAAAGTGTTTCTCTTAGAATTCTTCTTTGAAAAGAATAAATGTGTTCAATTTTTAAAATGGATCACATTCTATTACAGTGAAAACATCAGCATTTTACTATAAATAAACCTAACATATTTGAAATCTAAATTTACATACAGAAAATAGAAATTTTTCGGGGGGGTTTACAAAGGGATCCTTTTCTTCAAAAAATGCTTAGCTGTAGGATCCTTTTAAGTGGGTACATTTGAAGTACGTTTTGATTTTTAAATTTTATTTTTACATTTAGAAATATAGCTCTCACATAAAATGAGGTATGGTACCAATGAAAATATTCAGAAGTGGCTCGGCGGCTGTGGCTCAAGCGGCTAAGGCACCAGCCACATACACCTAAGGTGGCAGGTTCGAATCCCCAGTCTGGGCCCGCCAAACAACAATGATGGCTGCAACCAAAAAATAGCCAGGCGTTGTGGCGGGTGCCTGTGGTCCCAGCTACTTGGGAGGCTGAGGCAGGAGACTCGCTTGAGCCCAGGAGTTGGAGGTTGTTGTGAGCTGTGATGCCATGGCACTCTATCCAGGGGGATAGCTTAAGGCTCCATCTCAAAAAAAAAAAAAAAAAAAAAAAAAAAAAAAAAAGAAAAGAAAATATTCAGAAGTTAGTCAATGTCCCACAAGGTTTAAAAATTATTTAATATATATACTGATGCATTTATAACCAAAAAATAAAATTGAGACAGTTCCTTGGAGTATGTAGTTGTAAGATTTAATCTATCCAAGTATGAGCCCCTTGGTCTACTTAATGGCAAAGAAAATAGTTAAAAAGTATTTAATATAAAGGCATGTACATTATGCCTCTCCTTACATATTCATATGTTCTTGTAATGCATAGATTATTTCTGTATGGACCCCCCTCAACAAAAAGAGTAGCTGATTTCAGGAGGATCCCTTGTTGAATACCGTATGACTTTTGTTTGTATCACATGTAAATATTGGGTTTGTTGTTTTGTTTTTTGTTTATTGAGATAGAGTCTTACTCTGTTGCCCTGGGTAGAGTGCCATGGTGTCAAAGTTCACAGCAACTTCAAACTCTTGGGCTCAAGTGATCCTCTTGCTTCAGCCTTCCATGTAGTTAAGACTATAAGCACCGGCCATGATCAATTTTTTTCTCTTTTTAGTAGAGATGGGGTCTCTTGCTCAGGCTGGTCTTAAACTCCTAAGCTCAGGCAATCCATCTGCCTCAGCCTCCCAAAGTGCTAGGATTACAGGCATGAGCCACCTTGCTCGGCCTAAATATTATTTTTAAATAAACACTAATTTTTACAAAGTATATGCAAGGGACAAAACTGGCTCAATGAATTATCCTAGTTGGCCACTGAGGTAAGCTCCAAAACTGTGTCCAGTTCTCCAAAATTGTATGATACAAATACTTGTATTCTGCCTCAAGAACAGAATAAGGTAGAGAAAATGATTTTTTGTTACTGCTTCCAGAAATTATTTACTTATTACATGGATACATATGATGGAATGACCTAAAATCGTGACTGGTGTGTTTTCCCTACCTTTCTCCCTTTCCCATTCCCAGCTGAAAAGTTTTGTCTTTCAAAGGAAAAAGAAAGACATTAAGCAGTTCCTCCAGTTTTAAGGAATCACTTTCTGTCCCTGCAGGGCTGTCTCCACATGGACCCTGGCGAGAGACTGGCCTGTGAACAGCTGTTGAAGCACCCTTATTTTGACAGCATCAGAGAAATAGGAGATTTGGCAAAAGAACATGACAAACCAACATGGAAGACCCTAAAATACAGCCAAAAGCACCTGCCGAGGGTAAAAGTGATGCACTGTTTTACAGAAACATCCAAGGTGACAGTTATGGATCACCTCACACCTGGCACAAAGAGTCGCAATCTAGACTGGAAAGTGGTAACTGTGGCTTGCAGTTCCAGCACCCTCATTCCAGCACCAGGAGACAGGGCACATGACCCATATGACCCAGAGACCTCTGCCTCCTGAGGCCCCTCCTTTCTGAACCAGCCACTGTTCCCTGCTGCCACACAGGGGTTGGGGTTTCTGACAAGCATGAACTCAGGTCACAGTCAGGTGCGTGAGTGTGGGTCCAGCTGAGCATAGTTCCTGTGCTTTGGAAGATGAAATCAGATTTTCCCAGGCAGTTCTCTGCCATCATGTTCACCTTCAGTATTAACATCCCAGCTTTATCCAGAAAAGAAACTTTTCCTCCCTGCTCCTTTGTCAGAGCTGGGTGGGGCACGCACCTGGATGCCACTAGCAGAAGGGTGTTTAACCAGAGAACAGCATCGATCTGCACGTGGGAGTCTGGGAAGAATCTTGACTTGTGTCAAGTGGTAAAATGGCCTAACCCGAGGTCTCTTGTCACGGGTTCTCTTGCCTTGGTCTTTCCTCTGGCAGCCCCTACTGCCTAGCACGGTGAACTGGGTGGCAGGTGTGAGGTTTGGAGGCAGGAAAAGGGTGAAAAGTCCATTAAGATCAGGTTCAGCATGAGCTCCAGGCCCTCAGGTAGACCAGTTACAAAATTAAAAATGTTTTTATTTTATTCTCTGTCACATATTATCCAGGGAGTGAAACAGACCAGAAATAGACTCCCCACCCCACCCTATAGTTGCTCCTTTTTTCACTATTACTTTGGGTTCAAAAGCAAAGGGTAGAAATACTGATACTTGAAAAAAATAGTGGGATCCCCCTATTTTTTTCATTGTTTCTACATCCTGAAAGATTCAATTGTTTGATTTAAAAGTACTAAAAAATACCCTCTTTTCAAATACCTAAGGCCATATAATACAAAAAGTATAGGTGTATTCTCCTGACTTGCATTTTGACAGTGACAATAAATTCAAACACTTCCCAGAAGCTTGAAGAAAGCAGTGTTGCCTTTTTTTAGAGGTGGGATGTCATTCTGTTGCCCAGGCTGATCTCAAACTCCTGGGCTCAAGTGATCCTCATGCCTCAGCCTCTCAAGCCCAAATAGCTGGGCACTACAGGTGCCTGCCGTTGTGCCTGGCTGGCTTGTCTTTGTAAGTAAGGGGATAAATGGACAAATGGCCTAGGTGTTCCAGACACAGTTTTCTCTGCTGTAAGACAAGGCATTGGTTAAACGGTGCCTAATGTCCCAACAAGGCCTCAACTCCTGTAAATCTATGCTTTTCCCCCAATAACGTTAAGTTGTAGATTTTCCTTTCTTTTTCATATTTTCAGAACCTTATTTAATGCATGTTTTTTCTTTTCTTTTTTTTTTTGCAGTTTGGCCAGGTCTGGGTTTGAACCCGCCACCCTTGGTATATGGGGCTGGCGCCCTACTCACTGAGCCACAGGTGCCGCTTGTTTTTTCTTTTTAATATAAAATAAAACTTTATATAAGGAAAAGCAGAGACCAAATTGAAACAGTTTATCCTCTCTCAGGTCCTAGATTCTGTGCAAAAAAAAAAAAGTATTTCTGTGCTGAAAAAGTTATGCAACTACGTCTTTTCCAGTGTGTGCTAAATAATGAAGGAAATGCACGGCCCAGTTCTGAACCTAATTCGGAGTTTTGTATTCTCAGTTGCAGCACCTCCCTCAGCTAACGAGCGGCAGCATCCTTCCAGCTTTGAATGACAAGAAGTACTACTCTCATACCAAGAAACTTAACTACCGTTTTCCAAACATTTAAGGAGCTAGGAGATTGATGATAAAAAATTAAAGGACAATTTGAAGAAAATAAAACTTACACATTTGACTGAAAACAACTGCAATGTTGAAAACACACCAGCAGACAACATAAGCAAGTGTTGGCAGGTCGCTTGGCCAGATATGAAGGGAAATTCCAGATTCAGTCTTGCATGCTTGATGATGGTGTCCAGAGAAGAAAGGAAAAACCTGTTTGGAGTTTCACTTGTCTTTTTGTTTATGTAAGCAGCTGAGCTGCGGGACAGAAGATAAACTCTATCTACTGCTCATGCCTCTGATTTCAAAAAGATTTACGTTTCAGTTCTTCCATTGCTCCATGTGAAAAATGAGTTACAAAATGCCCACGTGTATTTCCTTGGATCTGTTACCTTGAGTTCTGTATTTCCTGCCTTTCAGATTGTTTCAACCTCATATTTGAAGAGTTTTAGTTCTTGAAATCAAAATGTTTAAAATTCCATTTCCTGCTTACTCTATCTCTTGATTTTTAATTTTAAAACATTTTTGGAATATTTAAAATTATGAATTACCATAAAGGCTTTGTAATTTATATGCTTATACAATCATATGTTTATATATTTCTTACACGCACATTTGTCTTTGCCTTCAGTAAAGAATGCATCTTAGTCTCTTTTGCAGGCAAGATGGATTTACTGTAGTATCAACATTTGTTTGCTCAATTCCCCTTGCAAACAATGGCACGAAGCTTGGCAGCTGACAGGTCGGGGGTGGGTGGGAAGTGTTTCAAGGGGTAGAACAAGATCTACAGGCTTTGCAGGAGCTGAATCTGTTAGCCTGAAAATAATTAGTACTTCATTCTCTCCAGCTCAGCCTCAGCAACAGATCTATAGGACAGAAGCTGTACATAGTGATCTAGGTTTTAGAAGAAAGTGCTTGTGAGCTTTTACTTGGGTTGTGAGAGACATGAGGTTGTAAACCAGTGTCTTCCTGAAACATCTTTTTATACTCTAAGTGTACATATGGGTGTGTATTATACACATATACAGATGAGGTCGGGCGATTAAGTTGCACTCATTTTATTCCTGAGTTAATTTTCTTTACTACATGTTTGGGCCTATCCTCTTACTGCTAAGTAACCTGCTAAATTCTTGCATCTATTCAATAATTCTGAATACCCAGGTAATTTAATGATATCCGAAGGCTTCTTAATGTATGTAGCTTCCTGTATAGACCTGATGGTGTGTTAAATAACAGTCCCAATATTATTCAATTCCTGTTAGGGAGCCTTGATTCAAATGACAAGGAAGGACAACTTCTGTGAAAAGTTACAATTTTGGTTGTTTTTTCTTTTTTTCCTTTTTTTCTTTTTTTGAGAGAGACTCTCTGTCACCCTGGCTAGAGTGCCATGGTGTCATGGCTCATAGCAATCCCAGACTCCTGGGCTCAAGCAATCCTCTTGCATCGGCTTCCCAAGTAGTTGGGACTACAGGCACCCACCACAACGCCCGGTTAGTTTTTTCTATTTTTAGTGGAGATGGGGTCTCTTACTCAGGCTGGACCTGAACTCCTGAGCTCAAGCAATCTCCCCATCCTGGGTTCCCAGGGTGCTGGGATTATACAAGTGAACTACCTTGCCCAGCTTTCTTTTTCTAACTCAAGAAAATGCATTTGAGGCTGGGCACTATAGCTCATACCTGTAATCCTAGCACTCTGGGAGGCTGAGGTGGGTGGATTGCCTGAGCTCATGAGTTCGAAGCCAGCCTGAGCCAGAGCAAGACCTCCTCTCGGAAAAAAACAGCCAAGCATTGTAGTGGCATCTATAGCCCCAGCTACTTGGGAGGCTGAGGTAAGAGAATCACTTAAGGCCAAGTGTTTGAGATTGCAGTAAGCTGTGATGCTAGAGCACTCTACCAAGGGTGAAAGTGAGACTCTGTCTCAAAAAAAAGAAAAAGAAAATGCATTGACATAGGTACATGACTATAACTACCTAATTCGTCCAATATTTTTATTACAGAAAACCAGAGTAGAAAAGTAGCTCCAGACTAAATTGTGGTAAATCAATTGTACCACAATGAAATGAAACAAACTTGAAAAAGGGGGCTTATTTTTCCTAATGAGGTCTATTAAATCTATGCTTATGTTCAATTTAACCATGTCTGTTTCTTTTTCTTCAGCATGAAGTCCACTGTATCACATGGGATTGTTCTACAGCTTTATCTTTTATCTACTGTTTTCTGATTTTTTTTTTTTTTTTTTTTGAGACAGAGCCTCAAGCTGTCCCCCTGGGTAGGGTGCTGTGACATCTCAGCTCACAGCAACTTCCAACTCCTGGGCTCAAATGAGTCTCCTGCTTCCGCCTCCCAAGTAGCTGGGACCACAGGCGCCCACCACAATGCCCGGCTATTTTTTGGTTGTAGCCATCATTGTTTGGTGGGCCCAGGCTGGATTCGAACCCACCACCTTAGGTGTATGTGGCTGGTGCTTTAGCCACATGAGCCACAGGCACCGAGCCCCATTTTCTGATTTTTTAAATGAGTGTTGATTATATTTATAAATAGTATATCATTTGTACTGTGTGCTATTTACATAAGCTAGTTTCTAAACACAACTAAAATTCATTTTCTACCTAAAAGCTACACCATCTTGGAATTATCTTAAAATTATTTTTGGTCAAGTTTATATTCAACAACTGAATGTTCAAACCAAACATACAGAAATCTACAAATGAGCTGGCATATAACTAACAGTAACAGAATCAGGGCTATTTCAAGCAGGTAAAATTAAAGACCTGTTTTATCTACTCATGACGTTACTTATTACTGCTTTTCAGATATGAATTGGCTTTTGTGTTTATGCTTCTTTTTGATGTCCCTTGAGCTCAAAAGAGATAGTATCAAAGACAGATGAGAGAAAAAATTTTGTTTTAAGGAATTTTTTAATTTAAGAAAAACCTAAGTATAGCCTGCTAGTCTTTACAATTATTTCCTTTATTCTTTTTTTTTTTTTTTTTTTGCAGTTTTTGGCCAGGGCTGGGTTTGAACCTGCCACCTCCGGCATATAGGGCCGGTGTCCTACTCCTTTGAGCCACAGGCACCGCCCTAATGATTATTTTTCTTCCAAAATATTTTAGTAATGTGAGTTAAAGCCCACATGGCGGCTTTGT